CTCTCTCTCTCTCGCTCGCTCTCTCTCTCTCTCTCTCTCTCTCTCTCTCTCTCTCTCTCTCTCTCTCTGGCAATCTCTCGCTCCCTCTCTCAATCTTTTTCTCTCTCTCAATCTCGCAATCTCTCTCGCAATCTCTCGCTCTCTCTCTCTCTCTCGTAATCTCTCGCTCTCTCGCTCTCAATGCCTCTCTATTTCTATCTCCTCCCCCAATCCCCCTTTCTCTCCCCTTCTTTTTCCCCTTTTCTCTCCCCCTCTCTCTCTATCTCTCTCTCCTCTCTCTCAATCTCTTTAAATCTCTCTGTCTGCCCGCGTCCGCAGCGTGCGTCATGATACGCGTTGAGTACATCCGCTGGGACGACACGGGCAGTATCATCGTCGTCTGCTTCGCTTGCTTCGGCATGGTGTCGACACTCTTTACGACGATGATCTTCGTGCAGTACAACAACACGCCCGTCGTCAAGGCGACGACACGCGAGCTCAGCTACATCATCCTCGTCGGCTTCATGCTCTGCTACGCGTGCAGCTTCATCCTGCTCGCCAAGCCGCTGCAGCACACCTGCTACCTGACGCGCATCCTGCCCGGACTCGCCTTCTCGATGATCTACGGCGCGCTGGTGACGAAGACGAATCGCATCGCGCGCATACTCGCCGGCAGCAAGAAGAAGATCATGACGCGCAAGCCGCGCTTCATGAGCGCCACGGCGCAGATGCTCATCACGCTCGTCATCGTCGTCGCCGAGATCGCCATCCTCGTGACGATGCTCATCCTCGAGCAGCCGGACTCGACGCTGCGCTACCCGGGCGCGCGCCGCGTCACACTCGTCTGCAACACGTCGACGCTCGGCGTCATGGCGCCGCTCGGCTTCGACTTCTTCCTGGTGGCGATGTGCACGCTGTACGCGGTGAAGACGCGCAACGTGCCGTCCAACTTCAACGAGGCGAAGTTCATCGGCTTCACAATGTACACGACGTGCATCATCTGGCTCGCCTTCGTGCCGATCTACTTCGGCAGCGACATGAAGGTGATCACCATGTGCCTGTGCATCAGCCTCAGCGCCACCGTCGCGCTGCTGCTGCTCTTCGCGCCCAAGGTCTACATCATGGTGTTTCGGCCCGAGAAGAACAATCGCAGCTCGTTCACGACGACGAAGTCGGTGCGCTGCCACATCGGCACGCAGAATACGGCGCATTCCGGCAGCAGCGGCAAGCCGTGGGCGTACTCGGCGGAGCGCGAGAGCACGGAGAAGCAGGACATGCAATATAGGTGAGATTAGAGCGCGAAGAATTTTATATTATTTGAGATTGCTAGCGATCGTTTGTCGTCGTCGTCGTCGTCGTCGTCGTTTTGCTTTCGGTGGGTGTTGGGTATTTTTGGCACAGCCGCCAACGCCACCACTACCGCCATCATCAACACTATGACCAACACCTATACCAACACCAACACCTATACCAACACCACCCACCGCAGCAACGTTATCACTACCAGCACCAACAATAAAATCATCGCCACCACCAACAAAAACAACAATACCAACACTAACACCAACCAACACCAACATCAACACCAACACCAACACAAACACCAACGCCAACACCAACGCCAACACCAACGCCAACACCAACACCAACACCAACACCAACACCAACACCAACACCAACACCAACACCAACACCAACACCAAAACCAACTCCAGCACAAACACCAGCACCAACACCAACACCAACACCAACACCAACACCAACACCAACACCAAAACCAACTCCAGCACAAACACCAACACCAACACCACCAAAACCACCAACAAGGACATCAATACCAACACCAACACCAACATCATTACCAACATCACCGCAAACCTTTTAATATCGACTCACCCCTGCACCATCACAGGTCTCATTTCCCTTCATCGTCGTCATTGAACATCACATCATTCGCCTGAACTTATTTGTTGCTTCTCTCCGGTTGTATTTTTTTTCCTATTCCATACGTGCCACGGGTAGTTCCACTCTATATGCAAACGCGCAACGTCAATCATATTTTTCACTCCTCGTATTACAAATGAAGTCTTACAAATGACGTGCTGGATAATTCTCGTGATATGTTTGCAGAAAATTCGCGCGTGCTTTGCTAGTCTAGTAGGCTGCTATCGTGGCTCTTGGAATAATTACAGTGTAATGGATTTACGAAATCGGTATAATTTATAAGGTTCCTCGAACCTCGACGCTATATCGTTAGTTAGGGCGTTGTTAACTGTGGTTAACCGGCCAGGACTTGCGCAGGCTGTCGAAGCAATGTTGGTAAACCAATTTAGCCTTGCTATAATGCTCGTGAGACTACGGCTAACAACTAATGTGACAACAGAGAAAATGGAATGATCAGTAGACGGAGTCGATAGACACGCGAAGACTAAACTACGTGGGTAACAGCCGTTACGAGTAGCAGCAGGTTGGTAAATGCCTTGCCAAATACCGAGTAAATGTAGAATAAACGAGCGACGACCTTATTGGCGGCTCTCGCGAAATTCTGTGTTTTTCGTCAGCCGTTAACCCCCCTCGTAATACGTTGTGACGATTTGAACGACGCCGAAAGCGTACGATGTTCGACGAAATTCGCATTTTTTCGACGTTCATGTTATTTTCTCGTCGACCGTACAACGGCATGACCTCGCCGTAACATGGCCCACGGGGGTCGCCGACGTTGTTAATGTAGATTTCATTGCGGATGAGATTTATCGTGGCGTAACGAACAACTGCACTAGTTTCCCAGCGATAAGATCCAGCCTCGGTTACTACTCGGACCCCCCCAGCCAACCGCAGCATCGGGTCGTGATCACTGTAAATGAATCTGCTGGTGGTACTCGGCGCGATAGCGGACGCGGGGAAAAGCCACCACTGATTATGTAGACGACAACACTCTAATCGCTGCCTTTGTGGAAATTACAATGGGCTTACAGTTTCTCTCGTTGCCGACAGATCATGTGTTGGCGATGGCCTGCGTTAATGCATTGTCGTGACGCTTAACGTGCTTCTCATGAAGTCCGAATAGTTTTCCGATGAGGTTTTTTTTCAGGGGGGGGGTTCCGCTCGCAATCGTCGTTTCGCCACAAACCGAATGCGATTACCTCTTGCGAGGAGGCCGACTTAGTGTCACTTTCACAACTTCTGTCTCACTACACCGCGTCACCGGGGTGCGTGAGGTTACAGCTTCGTTCTTTCAACCTTCAGCTCATTCTACTTAAAACGAGTTGGGGAAGTAGACGTCCGAACTAAGAAATGTCGATTTTTGGCGGAAAGAAATAGCGAATTAATCGATTTCATATAGTCGCATCGATAAATTAAAGTGATAGCACTCTCTCTCTCTCTCTCGCTTTCTCTCTCTCTCTCTCTCTCTCTCTCTCTCTTTCTTTCTCATTCTCTCTCTCTCTCTCTTTCTCTCTCTCTGCCGGAGCTTTCTGTCTCTGGATGACGTCGTCTTCTGCTCGTCTCTGCTCTGCTCTCGAGGGGCTTTTCTCGGAGTCGTCTCTTGCTCTCTCTCTCGTCTTTGCTGCTTCTCGCGATCTTCATCGTCTCGGGTGCTGCGGTCTCGCGAGATGACTTTGCTCACTACTCTGCTCTGTTCTCGTCTCCGGTCTTGCGCTCTCTCTGGCCTGGGCTTGTCTGACTGTCTGCCTGGCATTCGCGTTGTGTGGGCGTAGATATTTACTCTTATGACATACTGCCATGAAAGTTACCATAAAATTGTTTTAATGAAATTCATTTATTTTCTATATCAGACAAAATAAGAAAAGGCGGATTGGGTATATATCTCTATTAAGTGATATTCAGTAGTATAGTTAGTATATATATAGTTATATATAAGTATTATATATATAATGTAAGTAATTAAGTTAGCTCACTTTGTGTTACGAATCTTCCGCGAATATTGCGCAGTCAATTCGCAGTATCTTTAGTTTGAACTGATTGATTTGAGTAGCCGATAGTGTAGTAAACCTTTATTTGCGATAACTTATTTGTGATTGATAATTAAAAAGAACATTTACATTTTGAACATAAAACTCCCGTTTATATACTATATGAGCAACTTGTTTCATTGTGTAACAAGCTTACACATTTTTAATGACTACAAATCACTCTCGTTCTCCTTGTTTAATTGCAATGATTCTGGATAATTTGTATGCATAGTCAACGATAAAATCTCTACATTTCTGTACGAGTCTGCAATTCTGTCTGCATCAGATTTGTGGATGTGCGTGTGCTCGTGCGAATGCGTGTGTGTATGTGCGTTCGCGTGTGCCTGTGCTTGTGTGTACATGATTGCCTTTCGAGCCGATCTATCTTGTTTATTCGCGTTGTTTTTAATTGTTACAAATAGCATAATTTACGCGTAACTCCTCTTTTTTTTCTTACAGGAGTAGAAATTTAAAGCGATCGATCTAGAATGACTGGGTTTGTTCACAAACCATTGTGTAGCATTACCAGTCGGGTGTTTGTGTTTTACTAGGACTCGAACAAACTCAGCAACATGTCGGTTGTGTTTGTTTTAGTCTGCAAAATTCGAGAGAGTGTCTTTATTTGATCAGTAACCAGGTAAACTCGATTAAATCGTCGTAAAACAGAACGTATTTTTGCTTTCAATCTTGCCTTGTATAAACCCCTAGAAATCTCACGCTAGGTGAACTCGTGCGTGCGTGCGTACATACGAGCGTGCGTGCGTCGTGCGGGCGCGCGCATATCTACGTCTGCATATTCCACATCGGCGTGTCGTTCCTGTTTCAGTTACATGGAAGCCAAGATGGCGGAGAGGAAGCGTGAGGAGGCGCGTAGACCAGGCTTTATCAAGCGCTGGAGCATGACGCACGGCAGCAGCTACGACAGCGCCCTCGCTAGCGGCAACAAGGCCGACGCGTCGCGACAGACGCGACTCACGCACGGCGCACGCGCAGAGACCGTCAACGCCTCGCGCAAGCCGATACTGCAGCGCCAGCCGGCGTCGACCGCAGCGCCGCCGCAGCGGGACGCCGACGACGCGGAGCGGCAGCACCGTCGCTTCTCGCCGAGGACGCTCAGCCGCGAGAACTCGTCGCAGACGACCGACGAGCTGCTGCAGTTCCTGCTGCCGCAGCTGCGCCGACGTCTCGTGCGCACCGACGCGCAGCAGGAGAGCTCCGACAACGACGAGCGGCCGCTAGAGGGCGCCGACGAGTCGCTGCGTTCGGCCGCCGCCGGCGTCGCTGCCGTCGCCGTGTGTGAACACGCGCAGAATAGTCGGTTCAACGGAGCGCGCAGCTTACGCGGTGGTCCAATGGGCTTTCTCGACTTGGGATATGAGAACGAACTATACGAGAGTCCCGACGACGACGCCGACGACGACGACAGGTCGCGAGAGGGCGCCAGCGACATTTCGCCGCTGCTCGACGAGGTCTCCGTTTGGTCGAACAGCTCGTTCGGCGGCGACGCCTGCGACGACTTCGACCCGGCCAACGGCAGGTACAGCTACCAGCCAGACCTCAACCCAATCATGGAGCTATCGTCGACGAGCATAGACCGGTCGGCGAGCAGAGCGAAGAGCAAAAACCGTCGGCTCGGCGGCGACTGGTCGATGGACACCGCCTGTACGACGGTCGATAGCGGCAGCGTCGACGGCCTCAAACCGAGCCGCAGCGAGGATGACCTGCTCGGCTGTCTGCTGGACATATCACCCTACCCACTGCCGCCCAGCCTCAGCGCGCCCGACCTGCCCAACGTGCGAGTGATCGACGCGCCGTCTAGCGACACGACACACGATTCGGACGGACTGAGTAACGGCAGCGCAGTGTCGTCGGGTCTCCTCAGCGCCAGCTACACGACGCCGCGCAAGAACAGTTACGAGAAATTCCAGATGGCGCTGCGCGCGCGCGGTATTTTTGTAAATATAGATCAGGTGCAGTCGAGTGACGTATGAGATGACGTGCGTGCGGTGACGTCGTCCCGATCACATCCGCGCTCCCACGCGGGCGGTTGCTAGGATTTTGACGTGTTTATTGTTGTTCACATGTTCTTCCTACGTGGCTAACACGTGTTTTTTTCGATGGCGTTCACGACGTGTTCTTCCGATCTGGTTTACATGTTCTTTCCGTATTCTTCACCTATTCTCATCGTGTTCACAAGTCATCGTGAAATGTTGTCCCGATGATTGATCCCATATTGTTAATATATTATTCGCGTATTCTTCAGTTGTTCTTCGCATGTTTTTAACACGGTCTCCACGTGTTATTTACATGTTCTTCACAAGTTGTTCGCCCATGTTATTCGCATCCGCTTCACACGCTCTTCCCAAACTGTTTACATGTTCCTCATCTGTGCTTTCCGTGTTGTTCGGATGCCGATTTGAGTTCGTTCACGGGGGTTGTATGTTTTCACATGACGTTTTCAGTGGTGCACTTTTATAGGAAACAGATCTGTGTGTAGAGCTTATTACTCTGAGAGCTTCCTGTTGTTCGGCTAGGTTGTGTTGATGTCGCGTGCCGAACTCTTGTGGTATTCGTTTTGTGTGACGACATTTTCATCTGTTGTCACGAAACATCAGTATGTGTGTGGGCGTGTGTTTGTTGATGTTTAACTGATATTTGACAGCTGTCGGCCTCTAAATGAATCTACAAGTCGCTAATAATGTTTGACAGAAATCAAACGTCAAATAAAGTCACGTCATGGAGAAAAGAGGGATATATAATGTTGCACTGTCAATATTGATTATACAATTTGCCTTAACGGCGTGACGGAAACTTTAACAGCATGGGAAGTAGATGCAGCCCTAGTCGTCGTCAGGACAACTGGTTTGAAGTCTTTGATTTATTACTTTTAGAAAGCGTGAGAGAGCGGGACGCGGGAATAAATACGTAAGAGTAGAATAAAAAAAGAGAGACAGCGAAGAGAGCGAGAGAGAGAAAGAGAGAGAGAGAGAGAGAAAGAGAGAGAGAGAGAGAGAGAGAACGCGATAACGCAAAATAGAGCTAGTGGTAAGAGAGGGGACGAGGGCGCGCGAGAAAGAGATAAGAGAGAGAGAGAGAGCGTGAGCGTGGGATGAAGGGATGGATGAGAGCAAACAGAACAAAAGTATGAAGTGAAAGGGAAGCGACCGAGCGCGATCGAAAACGAGAGAAAGAGCGAGCGAGAGAGAGATAAAAAGGAAGCGCCAGAATTAAGATCCATCCTGAATTCCCACATTGGGCATTCAAAAAAATGTAGGCAATGGTTTCCGCCAACGCAGGTGTCCCTCCTTTATGGCATAGTGGACGAGACAAAGAAAGACTCCTTGTATCGACTTCATTTGCACTACCGTGATTCTAAGCGGCGCGCTCTCTCTCTACACTTGATGGATGGCTAGAAATGTTACTTCCTGTGGATCTCAAGCTATTAATGGAAGTGATGTTGCAATCGTGGTAGCGGTTTTTCACGGCAGATCGCCCGCCCATACACGGCAGCTATGATGCATTCGTTGGCGCGGGTCGTTGCTTTATGGTGACGTTACTATGTGAGTGAATCGTATACGCGCACGCTTTGTGATCAATTGCCGAGCAAATATTCTCGAGTCGCAATGCGAATTTTGTGCTACTGATCACTTAGTAAACGAAGCCCGTGAATTTAATTGATTGGAACGACGGGGCGAGTTGTGTTTTATGTGTAAGGTGATTATAGGTGTCTATATCGTTTGTATAGAAGGACGCGTGTACCTTTTGTATATCAAGTTATATTTGACGAACATGACGGAGCAATGTATGTTTGGTTGACTCCATAACTGTACATAAACGTGACCGTATGACGACGCGTTTGGTACGTGATTCTATAACCGACTACGAATGAAGAGTTACATTAAACGCAGATGATAAGGCGACTTATGTGCAATGGAAGCGAAGTGCGTTCGATATCATGTATTTTTTAACTATGTGTACGTCTCTTCCGTATACTAAGTCCACATGCTAAGACTCGCACACATGCGCACCACTGCTCACATGTGAGTAACCTCACGAATGCACGTGCGCCATCTACTGCGCACAATAATATCTATCATTATCTGAGGTGTTTGTTTCTTTTCTTTAGATATTCACGTACTGTGCACGTATTTATCACCTTTATATTCTGTGGTGCGTAGTCTAGTTTGGTATACGGCTATATTTTGTGATATGATATCTGGAAAAAATAAAAGCCGGATTGTCTCAGATAGTCATATTAATTGGATCCGTTAATACTTTCTTTAAAAAGTTACATATAAAGCCAGGTCACCTACATAGGCACATAGAATTAAACGAACCTCATACAGCAGACACGCGCGCGCACGCGCGCGCACACGCACGCACGCAAAGAAACACACCGACTGACGTTCGCACTCACTCACCGGCATGCACTCACTCACGTGCACACATTGACACATCAGAGTTCCAACAGCTTCTGACAAGTTACATCGGAAAGCCAAACACGTGCATCCTTCCCGCCTGTCTCCTTCCTTCTCAATTCGTCTTTCCTTCCGCTGGTCGCCAAAGTCCTCCTAATTGCCCACGGTACACTAAAGCCAACTTCCTTCACGACGTACAGCCTCGTTCCCCCGATCCAGCGGCTCTTCTATACTGCTGCGAAGCCCCGATACGAGGCTAATCTATGCATACGCGCTAACGGTGGTGAGTTTCACAATGTCACAGTTCACACCACACGCAGATGCGAGAACTACATTGTAGTGTATGAACGTCGATGCACATCGTAGGTTGACGCGCGAGTGATATTACACAACGTGCTTCAAGCAGTGATTTTGTGATGCTTGGCAACTACTCGCCTCCCCTCGGAAACCAGCAGTGCCTTAGGTAGTGCGCAGCACGGCAGCGCGACTCTATTATCCGAAATTGCAATTTCAACAAGGGGAAACGAAGCGTTAGGCGTGTGTGTGTATGTGTGTATGTGTGTGCTTGCGTGCGTGCCTGCGTGCGTGTGTGCCTGCGTGCGTGCGTGCGTGCGTGCGTGCCTGCGTGCGTGCGTGCGTGCGTTCGTGCGTGCGTGTCCGTGTGCCTGCGTGAGCGTCCGTCCGTCCGACGGTCTGTCCGTCCATCCATTCGTCCGCCCGTCCGTCCGTCGGTCAGTCCGACCGCCAGCCCACGATGGATAAATTCCCTCTAGACTAATTATATGCGTGTCTATTATATACGAACATGCAGCCAACCTCGCACGAGTCACTAACGCGTAGGAATTACACACGCACACACACACGCACACGCTCTCACATGCACACAGACGGACGAATGGATGGACGGACAGACCGTCGGACGGACGGACGCTCACGCAGGCACACGGACTCGCACGCACGAACGCACGCACGCACGC